GAAGAGAAGTATTATTGTGAATCGTGATATCTAATGAGGGGCCCTGGTTCTGTATTAGTACAGATTTACATAAGGGATATTTACAATTATCACAAACGAACCTTTTTATATAATAATAAACACCCTAAATCATTGATATTTAATCAACCAATCATTAAAATCATTCGCCCGTTCAATTATCCATCCATACATCCATACACGTTTCATACATGGTATCTAACATTTTTTAAATTGTTAGAAATGAAATGGTTGATAGGATAATAAGTTTATTAAATAAGCAAGCAATCTATTTAGATCTTATTGAGGTAATAATGAAAATTTTAATCATCATCATCAACGTAATAAATAAATCATGATATTAAAATTAACCCCCTTTAATTTTAGGTCTTGTCTTTATTACCTGAATATTGGTCAATTGAAATGTTTAATGAGTTTTTAGTTAAATCAATAAGAAAAGATTATCATGAATATAGGGAGGGACAGATTTTAAAATCCATTTGCCATGGTAAAAATGAAAAGGTATTATTAATATCAATATTATTAATATAATAACATTACTATAATGATGATGGTGATGATAGATTTTACTGATCAATCAATCGATAATTGATTTTTTATTGTTAGATAAAATGTGAATTATATCAAGCCTATCAAGAAATTGGGCCAATAGTCATTACGCAAAATGTAAAATGTACAATATGTGAAGATTATATCAGTGGATCAGATTTCTTACGTAAAACAAATAGTGATCTTGTTCATTTAAAATGTGAAAATCCCAATAATGAAAATGATAATAATAATAATTTACAACAAAAAAATGGCAATGAAAATAATAAACCAGCAGATCCATTAAATTCTTAAAGAGGGATATTTATATTTATTTAAACTCTCGATTAGAAAATAATATTAATGTATATATTATATAAATATATATATAAATAATATATAATTTTTATTTAATAATAAATAATAGTAAATACTTTTTTATTTTAAATATGTTTTGAATTGCACCTTGCTCTCTTTTTTATTTACAATATGTTTAGAATAAACTATATATATTCTGTGAAGTTGGTGTGCGAATATACGTACTTAATTTTCTTCTAATTAAAATTATAAGGAAGGAATACTACACCAAAAGATATACAGTACCAACCGTCTACTTTTATCACGCATCACAAATTAATCCTCGTATGGCAAGTCGTCCGTCTCGCGGATGGAAAGGCATTCCTCCAACTCGTCCAATTGAGAAAGTGCCATGGAACCACCTTCAAAACGTTAACGGCCTTTTTTTCTTAGTATACAAATCAACCTCTAGAATTAGTGATGCCTATACTACTACATCAGGATGGATTCCTGTGAACACGTTGAGGGGTTGGTTATGCAATCAGGTTGTGAGACGTTTCCATATATCGTTTTTTATGGACGGGTGCAATTGATTGAGCAAATTCGAATAGTGTAGTTTGAAGCTAGCCATTATAGCCGTTATAAACTTCCAAGAATTCGAAAATATTACTAGCATTTCTGGAGATCCAAAGCACAGATAGGCGAGTTTGAGACGAAATTCGAATGCATTTGTGAGTGATAGCAGGTATGTTTATACGTTTTTTGTAGCGATATGTTAGACTACGAACATTTGGCACGAAATATTAACATCATTTGGGTCAAGACAATAACCTATTTTATTAAATTCGAAACATCTAAATAGGACGGCTGTCCTTTCAAGCACACATGGATAAAAAAATAAAACGTGGGCGAAATCTTTTTATTTTGTTTAATAATTATTCGCGCGTTGCATGGGAGAAACATGTTGGCTCCAAGAACTCCTCGAAAGGAACTAACAGTTTCTAATCTTTAGCCCGCTATCATTATTACTACCACTGTTGTAGAAATTATTATAATAATAAAAAATCGAAACTATTCTAATGCCGGCGTTCTTCTTCACTGTGCATCATGGCTGACGGCGAGTTTGATGATAAATGTTGTTACATTTGAAGGTGCTGAGAATAACGACGACTACGTTGACGATGTAGATATCTTTCAAACAAATGTTCCTCTACTGGAACAATAATATTATATTGTCACGATCTTTCCTTTTGTCTACATACAATGATTACAATAAGGTTGCCTCTGGGACACGAATTCAATTTCTTCCTTATCTGTTAGCCATTGGACTGTACAGCTTCCTTTAATATGTCCATGGGTTTTGCAGGAATAACAGACCCAGGATTATCCTCTGGTTTATGATAATATGATTTAAGCAATTTACGATTTTCGTGGAAATAAACGAACACTGGGTGAATTAATCGAGAATCTTTTAATATTCCCCTTGAGGAGAATTTCTTAATAGACGTTGTAAAAGGTTCCGATTTGGTAACTCCCAAGTATGGGTTCGTCAATTGCATGTTTTATTAATGTATGTACGGTTTTGGTTTGTGATTTGAGTTATTTTAAACATTTCGAATGTGTTCATTAACAATCATGCGTTTGAAAAAGTTCCTCGGTTGTATATTATTAAAATTAATAACATTAATGATATCAAATTAGCCAATTAAATTCATACAAGGTTTAAATAATAAATTTTATTAATAGATGAACTGAATGAAAAGGGATAAATGATTAATTATCTTTTTGTCTTTTTTTTTTAATAAATAAAACCTCAGTCCATTTTGGGAACAATTAACTTAAATATAAACGTTAGCATTAAATTATCTATATACACTACACAACGCAATTTTTTTTTTTCGAAAATTGTCTCTTTTTAAACAAAAAAAAAACTAAACTAATTCTCACGTTAATTATATTCTACGAAGTTTGTATGGCCTAATAATTTATTATAATTGTTACAATTATTATAATATTAATAATAACTTAATATATATATATAGTGTCGCTAAATTTTTACCTGTGTCTTTAGCATGTTGTACTGCCTCCTTGTCACCCACTAATCCTTTTTCACATTGACCACACCTTCAAGTAACATTCGGTGTATATGTATACTTGTGAAGCTATAAATATAAATACAAGTATGTAAGAGACAGATGATTGGAATGGGGGGAATCATATATAATATACTCTACAATAAATCTACAAAATACCTTTTTCATTTTATTTGCAATGCTAATTGCTCCATTTAGAATTGATTGGTCAGAAATTTCAAAAATTGTTTGATCATAATCTTTATCAGCACTAATCATGGGAGTTAAGGCAACTGCATCATAATCTTCAAAAAAAAAGAAAAAGTAAAAAGTAAAAGGGGAGTTTTAAAAGAGATTTTTTTTAAAGGTATATGAAGATTATTATTTTCCAAAAAAAAACTTAATACTTACGAATTCCGCTAATAATTCAATTGTATTTATATCATATTGTTAATATATATATATATATATATATATATATTAAATAAGATTATTCTTGAAAAATCATACCTATAAACTATATATACACATTGATCATAATTGCCTTCTCCTATTAACAAATAGACGAACCACAAAATTAATGAATAATTATAAAACTATTGAGGAATAGATCTAATTAAAAACAAATATATCTACCGTATTTATCAATTCTTCCTGTTCCTACATCTACGCTACGAATTTCTAAGAAATTTACAATTGGCAAAATTATTATGATTGTGATTGTGATTGTGATTATAATTTTTTGAAAGAGCAAGTTCAGTTCACAAATAATTAAAATTCTACGTCAAAATCTTTACCAACTTTATAATGAGAAGAAAAAATTGCCAATTCTTTTTTGTTTAAAAAATAAATAAATAAATAAAAATACATATATATTAATAAAAATTTTCTAAACAATCATCAACAACAACAATAAAGACATGTTCCAACTATTTAATTGTTACCTATTGCACCTCCCCAACTATTCTTCTGTGCAATCCATTTACAATACTCATTGCGTGATTTTCCCAAGATAATGTCAGAATAAGTTACAGGATCTTTGTTGACAGCATCAATTATAACTAAACATCAATAATTACAACAATAATAATTATTATATAATTAATATACTTTATATTATATAAATATACGTGGTAATTATCCTCTTTCACTTACTCTGTCTTAATTTCTGTGCAACTTCTGAAGAATTTTCCAGTACATAGCTTTTATTATTTTTAAAAATGCTTTTAATTTTTTTTATTTTCTTAAAAAAAAATTTTTTTTTATAACAAAAATCTTCTTACCCTAAATAATTTATAATCAATTAATTAATTTTAAAAAAAAAAAAATTACGAAATTTCATTTAAATAAATTTTTTATACCAATTGCACGGAATAAACATGAATTATCATCTGCCATTTCCTATATAAACAAACATTAAGATAATGAAAATTAAATTTTATATTAAATAAATTTTTCTTTAATAAAATGGTCTTTTTAGATAAAATACCCTTAGAACAGCATAACCATTTTCTACTGGAGACGATATAACGGCATCTTTACTCATAGTAGTAGAATCATCACCAGTAGCGGTAATTTTCGATGAATTCAAATTTCTATTAGTAATAGCAGCAGCAGCAGTTGGTGGTGGTGTTAAATCTGTAAGAAGAATAAGATCTCCATTTTGTATTCCTGCTGACTCTAATGTTACTTCATCATTAGCACCGCATACTTTTGGAGGAAATCCTGTTTTCACTTATTATTGTATAAAGATGCAAGGATGGAACAGTCAGATTCCATTGTTTATGTTTAATTATACGTTTATTTAATCGGTATATTATCAAAAATTAAAAACACATGTATATTCCTTTAACCAATTTTTTCCCTTACACTCTTGATATGCTGGTGAAACTCCGTTGATTCGTTGAATTTCTTGTCTTAATTCTATCATTTTCGATTTCTCGTTCAAACTAGTGATAATGTGTACTTGGTCTTTATTTCGAAGTCGAAGTCTCATATTTATTTTTAAAAAAAAAAAAAAAAGAAAAAATTGTCGATATCACTTTAATTTTACAAAACAGGAAGACAGTGCAGATTTTGGTCATTTTTTTATAGTAACTCGTAATTTATAAATTATATGCACAATTATACAGGCCTTACTTTATATATTATTTATTGCGTAATCTATGTTCAATAATTTTTAAAAATTTTTTTTTTTTAAATTCACTCCTAACATTATTTAGGTAAAAGAAATATTTTTTAAAAATAAATTATTTAAATGATGATTTAAAATACTTATCCTACACTCTGAATAAATATAAATATATGTTGAAACATAATAGTTTCAGCCTTGTCTGATAATTAAATAATTTATTATGTTTTATTGTTTATTTAAAAAAAATTATTTTATTAAGATTGTTTAAATTATTTATTTCTTTAATTCCTTTATAGAGTTTTTTTGAAAAATCCAAAGATAAGGTTGGTAGATGATGGTTTTGCTGGTAATTATTTAATTAATGATAGTAGTATTATTATTTGTGATTTTAAAATGATGATAATTTGTAGACGGGCGGACAGAATCAAAACATGTTGAATGTCTACTATTTTTTTTTTTTAAAAAAAATGCCTGATTTTTGTTTTCCTCTCTCTCAAAACATTCATTTACTCAAAAAATTATGCATTAGAGTTTTATTAATAATATTTTTATTTTAATCAATTCATTTTTATAGTTTTGATATTTGACTAGACGATTGAATCCGGGAAATGACCATATTTGGTGAGTTACATTTGAATCTTTATGCTAGACAGAGAAAAAAGAGAAAAATATGGCTTTATATAATAGAAATGATTAAAAATTCTTTATAATCAACAGACTGAATTTATTTAGTAGTGTTGACAACCAAGTTCGGTTCATCAATGATCTTTTGTTATATAAATTAAAGAATTATTCATAACTAATCATTATAATTTTTTTGATTAATAATAATCTTATTATTTATTATTATTAAGGCTCTGAATGATTCGATTTGTATCCAACAGACAATCTTTTATCTGGGTCTGTAATGTGTACAGTTGGCCTGGAAGAACAACTTTTACTTAATACATTTACTTGATGATCTTTGAGTATTTCATGGTAAATACTTTTTTTTTATTTGGAGAAATCAACTTTAAATTTAGAGTTCATGTATAATAAATTTGAAAGAAATTTGTTAAATAAAATTTAATTAATCTGATTTCATAAAAAATAATTATGCTTATAATTAACAAATAGTAAATTGATTGGATTTAATCAAAGCATGATTCATATCCAATTCTTAATTATTATTCCGATGTTTTTTTCATAGAAAGTTCCTTTACAAGTAGACATCAAACTTTATACGAACAATTGTTATTGTTATTACGTCATAGGGAATTACAGAGTCCATTTTTATTACACCTCCTTCGCTTGTCCCAAAATAGGAAGGAAAATTTTATGTAATAAAAATGATGTTATACCCAAAATCAAAATGATTGGACTATTCCTTTAAATTCACGCGCGTGAAATTCAAGCTAACCGATCAGGATTTTGTATCCAAACACCCCAAAACTTAATTGATCCAAACAATTACTTTATAGAAAGATCCAAATTTTTCATTTGGTGAAATTGAAATCCGCAAATTATGTGGAGAGGGAGAGAATTTACTGTCAACAAAAAATGAATCCTAGAAATAAAAAATGGAGAAGATGAAAATAATAATAATGGTGAAACCAAATAATACTCATCAATAGCCTCCAATGCAATTGCTCTGATGGTTTTCTTCTCTTGATTTTTTTAATATTTAATATTTATATATATATATTATTAAAATCACCATGTATTTTGTTCCCACTATTGCATGTGACTATACAATATTAATATTCATGATTTAGGTAAAGAGTTAATAATTGATAAATTGTAATACTAGCAAGAATCATGCAGAAATGAAAGAAATGGAACCTTTAAGGAGCCAATAAGAAATCTGGCAGTGGTAATTTTAAAAATGAATGACAAATCTTCAAGTGTGTACTGAAAAATGGAGAGTAAACATGCAGTTACCCATGTAATTTTTTCCGCAGGCAAGGAAAATTGACGGGCTTTGGACAAGAAAGAGGTTTTAGCCTCCCTAAAAATTTAATTACATCATCATATTATCAGGGCACACTAGTCAGACTAGCCTTATGTACAGGATGCATATAAGAATGACTGCAATTGCTTAAGTATTTGAATAATGCGCTTCAGCATCTATAAGTTTCATCCAACAATCATATTGAGTTGATTGGTGTTTCCAAATTTTCCAAGTCTCCATATAAGAAAGAGAGATATTCAATGGTTGTATTGCCTTCCTGATATTTCTTATTTATTGACATCAATAATGATTACATAAAAATACCAGTCATTTTTTTGTTTATCATTTTGGTGCTTGAAAATGAAATTTGTTCACATACATGAAATTCAAATTAGATCAAATCACAGGATGTCCAAAGAAGGATAGCACTTTTGGATCAATAAGCAGAATAATTTGAATTTAAATTAAAAATGTTATGGAGCGGTTGTCGAAGTAGTAAAAGCATCCAAGATCTGATATTAAATATTTTTAAGGATAAATAAGGGCAAGTTTCACTTTATTATAAAAATAATGGAAACCTAATCAAATAAATGAAAATATTTAATCTTGTAGACGATGGATTCAAAATTATAAGCAAAGTGTCAAAACCACCAATCACTAAATGATCTTGATTCCATAATGATGATGACCTTTGTACAAAAAGCATTCGAAATTTTGTATGTTATTTCTATTTTCACTAAAGTTGGTAAGAAATTGCAGAATACAGAACATGATCAAACTCTTGGATACATCACTGAATGTAGATTTCTTTGCTCTTATTGTTAATTTATTGCTTTATAACATTCCTTCAATAGAATTTCAATGGTAAGATTTTTAAAATTTTTTGTTTTTTGTTAGTTTAAACGAGTTCAACATTTTAGGAAAAGGACTACTCGGAGTCATTATGACATTTTTTGGATATTTTCTATTGTCATTTTATAAAGCCAAATGCCAAGTTTAATTGGTTTGTTTTTTGTTTCAAGGAATAAAATTCCACTGAATTTCTCAAAAGAATGTCGTGAGGGGTCTGATTCATTCCATCGACAGTCATTTCGTCGACAGTTCATATTTTAGCGTAACATACGCATTGATTATAGGAATCATGATAGAAGCGTCAGGAAATTTAGATAAAAATAAAAATTGGATACTCAAACATATTAATGACTGAATTTCAGGCACCTTGAAAAGAACATCGTCAGAAAAATAAATATTTTCTGAGTTTTGATTCAAACGAAACCTCAATACTATCCATTAGCATATTCTCAATTTGTTTGATTACACTATTAAAAACAATAATTATCATCAATTATAATCACCAAAATAGTCAATAACAATATCATCACCATCACTATCATCACATGTAAGCTAACTGTCAGTGAAGTGTTTGTCGACGAAATGAACTGTCGGCGAAATGTGTGTCGATGAGATGAACGCGACCGTTAATTCCCTTATGTTTTTCAGAAATGATCAGAATGATTTTATTGATTCTCCCATTATTATTATACTGATATGTCGTAAGAATAAATTCTACAATCCTAAAAAAAATTGACAAATTATGTCATTATAACGGGAGTAAATTTATATCTATAAATTTGTTTTTTTTAAAAATATCATTATAATAATAGCAAGGTTGTTATTATAACAAATGTCGTTATAGTGGGAGACTCGCACAGAATAAATGCTATTTAAAACTGGAAATTTTCTATACAACCCGTTGTTAACACTACACTGGTTAATTTAGTTGATTCCTTGTGACCTAACTACTTTTCGTCCCCACAATATCCAATATGTATTCTTTTATATTTAAAGAACATCATTTTAGGATAATAAAATAAATAAATAATTAAAGTGCCTGTTCATAGAAAACATGCCTTATTTTAAATAAAATTCCTCGTGGAGACAATATATTTCATTAAAAATGATTTTTTTTACTTCAAAAGTAAGATATTGTTTATGATTTAAAAAAAATTGGAAAAATTTAAAATTTATAATAATTTCGTATTACGTTTTTGGCAAAACAATTACCATCCCATGTATATTCCATTTACAAAGCTCAAATAGTTCCTTTTATATCTATTTGACCAATTGCAAAACTTGCTTTGGTTTATTTACGAATCAACTTAAGCAAGCTTGTTTAACAGCCTTACATTTGCTATAACAATTTTATTATAATAACTAAAGATCCGGACGGTTCGGTTTTTCGGTTTTTCGGTTTACATTTGAACCAAGAATCACAGGTATCCTAAATTCGTTAGCTATGCAAAAATAAACATAACATAATAACTTCAAAAAAATTTATAATGACTTGTGGCTGAATGTGTTGCGAAGTAAAAATGTTGAAAGGATCCTGTTTCTATATACATGAAGTTATAAAGGATTTAAGGCATTTAAAATCCGTTATAATAATAGTAATAATTATAACAAATTTATTAGTCATTTCAAAAATGTTAAAAGTCGTTATAACGTAAAATCATTCTATAATAATAATTCTGGTTCTTTTTTTATAATTAAATTTTCTCTCTACATTCAGAACTCAACAAAACGATGCTTTGATAAAATAAATACACGTGATAAACCAATGTTTTTTTATTATCTACCTATTAAAAATTATCTCTCTATATAAGCCAATTTTGTTAAGGTTGTTTAAAACTGAAGATTTTTTTTGTAAAAAGTGTTGACTTCGGTTTAACAAACTCTGCCTGTATAACTAACATCTTCTATAACGAACAAAGGCGAAAATTCATTGTAGAGAGTAAACTTTTCATAATATAAATATGAAGATCTAGCCAAACTGAACCGTTCGGAGCTTTAATAATAACACTAACTGTACTTTAGACAAGACTTTATTGTTAACACTCACCACTAATTGCAAACATTAGCACTACTCACTAAA